CCGGAGCAGCGCCTCTAGCGGTCTGCCGTCGCCCATAAGCGTAGGTTTTCTATAGTTAACTATAATATTCTTTGATAATAGCACTAGTGCTCTTAAGAATTCATAAAAACACCCAAATTATGAAATGAAAAATATACAAAAAAAAAGTTAGTTACCAGAAAAACCTTTTTATTGATGCTGGCTCGATATCCGAAGGGACACTTTCGAACTCAGAATTACCAATACATATTAATATTATTTTCCATTATAAAACTGCATTTATTGCACAAAAATGGACTCACGGCCAGATAATACGGAATTACCAATCCTACATTTTGTTATTTTTTCTGTTTCGCAAATAGTATATTGTGTATTTAGGTGGAAAAGTGACACATTCTCGGCTGACGGTGTAAGTTGACGGGCGTGGCGTAACCGAGGCAGGCAGACACCGAAGGCCGAGAATGTGCTTTTCCACCGAAATACACATAGGTACTATTTTTTCTGCGATCGGTTAAATATCCAGTGTTGCCAGCATCAGTACAATTTGACCCTCTTCAGTACGTCAGTACCACACTATAAAATTCAGTACATTTTCCCGCCGCTGTACAATACCGGGGATATTCTTAAACGGCGGGAAAAATTAATGAATACCTGCATTTTCGAATGGACGGAAGCAAAGACGATACACACTATTACTACCAGGATGCAGTGTTGCCAGATCTCACGATTATTCGTAAGATTACACGATTTTGGTCAGAATTTCACGATCTCACGAATGAGGTAGCAATTCTCACGAATTCTCTCTGTAGTAAATCAAATCACTAATCAAATATAATCTAATCGAGAATAATCGAAATAAAAATCTACTATACAATATATAGTTATTTTACGCTGCTCCTGGTACATGCTCGCCTGAACACTGAAAGTGTTTGCCAAGTCCACGAGACCCCACTATCTGTGACGTCAGCTGTAGACCTCAACTCTTGGAAGAAAAAGCATTATCCGAGTCCAAAAAACGGATCCATAAACGTGAAATCACTTTTTCTAAATTTAAAATTCCCAAAAAAATCAAAAATCAAACGAGGTTCAGCTCTGAGAAACACCTGCTAAAAAACGGAAAAAACAAGGATACAAGATTTAATAATAAAATGTTTATTTCTTATGGATGTAAAATCATGTTTACTTTGTCAAAAATCTATGAAAAAACATTGTTGTGCTTTATTTTCTTACAATATTAAGCAATTTTTAGTCTCACGACTTCTCACGATTTTTCTTTCTCGATTCTCACGATTTTTTTTAAATTCATCTGGCAACACTGCCAGGATGGCCTATCCTCATAATGCCTGTGTGTAACAAATCCCCCTCTTCCTCCCCCCTTCCAAAATTCCAGTTGTGACGTAGGCAGCATGTTATTACTCGCCTTGACGTAGACTGTTTAAACAACTGACGACTTAGTTATGACGTCGACAATGGTGGAACACCAATATGGCGGCGATTACCAAAAACGAGGCCGATAAGCACTCCTAGAGTGTGTAATCTCCTTGGGACGGAAGGGGTTCACGAAATACTCCGGAGCAGAATTTTGAGTGCACCCCAAACATGCCTTTAGCCCGCGCCCGTTTTACGCCCGTATATGGACTTAATCTCGATTAGGAGTTTAATCTCGCTTAGTTCAGGTCTGTTTCCAGTCAAAAACAGTCAGAAACTAGTTTCAACCAATGAAATTTATTCTGACTGGTTTGTGATTTCTGCAGAAACTGACCTTTCGGAAATTTGGCATGCACCTCAAGAAAAAAGGAGTTTATGCTGAAGTTATGGATTACTTACAAGATCCACCAGAGAGGAGAGTTTTGCTTAGATTAGATGTTTGACGTTTCTTAGATCAAAAAAAATTCCAAGGGTGATAGCAATATTCCTACTAACCTATTACCTAATACTTAAATTGCCTAACATGTACATTCTTGAGAAGCTAGAAGATATTAACATTAAATTTCGTGAAATAAGTAACCTGCCCCAATCTATAATGTCAGATCTTCTGAAAATGTAACGATTTTGAAAAATTTTCGGTTCAATCTTTATCACATGAAAAACGCGGCAAATTACCGGTGTTGTTCGTTTCTTTGATGTTGACAATGTAACGAGATTGCCATAAAGCAGCGCTTGTGCTGAGAGGATATTCTTAAGCCTAAAAAAACAAAATAAGTATGCTAAAACAATCTACTTTATTAGTTTTATGAACTGAAACATTTTTACGTTTTTCAGTACATTTTTTGCCTCTTGATCAGTACTTTAATTTTAGAGGGTCTGGCAACGCTGTAAATATCTGTTAAATGTTTGTCTTTTGTTCCAATTATTCAGCAGTACGAGAATCACTTTCCCGGCCTAGGCCGAAAAATGATTCTCTTATAGTTATTTATTGATTCCTAAGCCTAAGCAACTATTGAAACATAATTAAAATACCAGAATATTGAGTTTTACGACCTGTCAACCGGTCAAAAATGCCAGGCGCTGATCCAGACCGAAATTGAGGGGGGGCCATACAAAATTAGGCAATTCAAACCACGTGACTTTCAAGATGGCGTGGCGGCCACACTTGGGCCAAAAGCACAAAAAAATATCTAGATTCTGCCCGATTTATTAGTTCAGGAACCTAGTCAACAAATATTTTATTAAATAATCTAAATCAAAGTTGCAAGCAAAACTCTAAGCAAAAAAATTTGAAATACGCATAAAAACACATTCAAAACAAACTTGCTTGGCCGCCACGCCATAATGAATTTTCCTATCTGACAGATGGATTGAATTGCCTAATATTGGAACATACAGGGTGTCTGGTTATAATTTGACACCCCACTTTTATAGGTAGATGGTAGGTGTAAACACTTAGAGGTGGGCCAACCTGCGATTTTAATGGAGCTGTGACAAGACGTGACTGCTCCAGTCGTGTAACTGTGACAAATAGCAGTGATTTTTTGGAGCAGTTTTACCTTAGTTGGCGGCCGTACTGTTAATATTATGTTAATGCTACATCGCAACATGGCATAATCGCAATCCGCAGTCACGGCCGAGAGAGATGTTCCAGTTTCCAGCCTGCTCCCTGCAGTAGCAGTTTCTATTTGACGTGACCGCGATGCGATTTATAATATTATATTATTTCATTTGCATCACAGCTCGAGTTTTGTCCGCGCTGTATCGGTCGGAGCTTGAAGCGGGCAGTGACAAAATGTCACTGCTACTTGACTGGGACTGGAGCAGGCCGTGACTGTGACAGACAAGTAGCAGTGACAAAGTCACAGTTCATGAAATCGCAACCCACCTCTAGTAAACACAAAAGTGGAGCAGTTTTAGCTAAATTATTGTCAGAAATTGGAAATTTTGCGTACTTTCAACTTTTTTCAAATAGAATGCCCTATATTTGATTCTATACTGGAAGAGCACATTTTTCCGATTCCAAAAATATATATATAGTTTCTCTTTATTTAGTTGAGCCGTCTCCACCATATTTGGCTTCTAAAATTTAAAAAATAACTATCAGAGAAACCAAGTGCCACAAATTTTACCTGAAGCTTTCATCAGAATGGTTCAGAAAATCGTCTGTAGGATAGTATTTTTCCAATTTTTAGAGCCATGAATGGATGTATGTTGAAGAGGCGGCTCAAACACATATAGACAAACTATATATTAGAAGCAAATATAGGGCATTTCATTTAAAAAAGTTGAAAGTACCCAAAATTTCAATGTTTCTACAATAAACTTTTGTTTTTGACGATGGATTCTGAAAATTTAGTTAAAACACTTTTGTGTTTACACCTATCATCTACCTGTAAAGGTAAAGGCTGCAGGGGGGGTGTCAAATTATAACCAAACACACTGTATATACAAATAGAATAGGCTAAAGATCCGTGATAAAATGACGCCATGAAATAAAATTCTGTTATATACGGGCCCTGGTAAACCCGGAAAAATTGGTCGATTTAATGTTGATTTTTAAAATTATTTTTTCTTATCTAGGGTGGGGCCATGGTCCCCATGGCCCCTCCCTGGATCCGCGCCTGAAAAATGCTGACATTTCTTGTCAATCGCAGAAAAAGGTTTTTGTTTTATTAGTTTAGTTCTTTTCTGATTGATACCAAACCTTATTGTGGCTTTCAGTGATCCTTGATTACTGCCAGTATAAAATTTCTTTACAACCGTAATCTATTTCTGACGAATGTCTGGGATTTTCTTTTTGGTAACTTTTGGAAGAATGTATTCATACGATACAAGTGTTTATTTTAGAAAAAATTTAATAGTCTTTTATCTCGTTCGTTAGCCGTCAAAACCAAATTTTCCCCTGTACTCTGTACTAGATAATAATATCATCATCATCTACTTACTTCTAAACAATTGGCGAAATAATATATTCTCGAATATAATAATATTCTCCAGAATATTCTATTTTAAATATTAAATAATAAAGGTATAAAATTTTCCATAGCAACAGCACCCAATATGCCGCGCCACTTGATAGCAATTCTAATTGGTCGAACGCAATCTAGAATTCAATTCTGATTGGTCGAACACGACTCCGGAATTCTAGGCTTTTCCTTGAATATGTAAAAGAGAGTACGGAGTCGCGTTGTGAATCAGTTACGCGCGAGATTTTGTAATATTAATAAGAGCGTCGTGGCAAGCTCAGTTTTTGAAGTTTTGTTTTTGGCTGCGGTCAAAAAATAATTCACACAATTGTAAATTTGTAAATAGTAATGAAAAGTAGTGAAGTAGTTCTGTGAATAAATACTTAGTGGTGTAAATAAGACAAAACCAGCGTTTAATTTCAATAAAAACAGCAAAGAATTCAATATACAGTCCACTAATAATGAACACCACGACAACAATTCTTTCTTGGTCTTTCTTTTCCTACGTTACTCCATCGATGGTATGGCAGTTTAAGCTTAAAAGTATCTCATTCAATCGTTGCTTCTTTTCGATATCATTTATACTTTCAACAGCACTTATTAACTTTTTCTTTTTTTTTTTAGTGCCTGGCAGAGAGCTACAACTCAAATAAGCCACATCAAAAAAGCCACCTCGGTAAAAATCAACGAAAACGTAATCGCGGTGGACGTCCATGCCAAAACCGACAAGAACGGGACCGCGGAAAATTGTCCAGAGACTTCGATGAAACTAAATCTAGAGGAAAATGTCATATTGATAACGCCAGATGTCAATGAGAAGAGCGAAACGCAAAAAGAAGAAGAGAAACCCAACGACGAGGAACCCACTTACGACACGCCGAAAGAGAAACAATGCTGGGCGATGTATTGTAAAATGACGGAAAAAGGTAGGTATATGACAAATACTTATTATTATTTTTAGTCACCGGGATAATATAGGCAACATTAACAGTTGTAGATAAAATATTGTACACCGCAGTTATCGACGTTACAAAATTTGTATGTACCATACAGTCTGCGATAGGGGGTGAGATCTATTGGTGAATTCCTTTCAAAAATCAAATTTTTTCTTGAAAAAATGAGTGAAACTGATGACAATCACGATTGTGATGCGCACACTTGACAGATAAACAATGCTTTGAACATCACCTGTCAAAAAGTGTGCATCAACTGTCATCGATTTGACAGCAATCAAGTGTCATTTATTATTTCTTTTTTTTAGGTATAAACGTGTCTTACGATACTATTTTGAGAGGTATGCTCACTCCGACAGAATACAGGATCAGACGCAAGACTTCGATTGCCGAAGAAATGAATTTGCTGGTCAATCCGCCGTCTTCGTCGGAAGACGTTGGGCCCAAACCCACTACGCAAGAGGATCTTATGAAACCAAAAAACCAAATTTAGATTAAATATTTATTGTTATTTTATAGAAATCGATTATTTTTAGATACTAGAGGTTTAATACACACGACAAAGAGCTGTTTGTGACTCTTGGAATAAAGTTTAGATTTAGAAAAATAATTATGAGTTTTTCTCAGCTCCTCTCTAAACGAACATTCTTATACCTATTTCATAATAAATCAGTAAATAGGCTCATTTAACTCAAGCTGGTGGTGATCGATGTCTTCTATGCTAATGGAAATCGAAAAAAAAAAGTTAATAATGAAGAATTCAATTGCTTCTGTCTAGAGCGCGTCTATTCTGAGAATTCTCTTATATTTTATTGTAACGAAGTTCCAGTATTTTTCATAAAATAAGTGCGCCTCCCGCTTCGACTTAATTTAATTATTAATTGCGTGACTTAATTTTCTGTATTCACGGCAGTATTAATTAAAATCCTCTTTATATTATTTAAAAAAATTAAATACATTATCAAGATTTCGCGTGACCTTGCCTGGAATCTACCGATCCCACCAGAGTTTCGGCCGGTATCAGCTAATTTGCATATTTCCGTGTACCCCGCCGTGTCCCTGCTGACCCATTTTTTCGGCTATAAATTGGGCAGAATTCGCTCGTAAAAGACAGGCAACCTGACAGCAGTGATAGCAGCATCACCACCAGAACCGTTTGAGGTAAGCCAACCCGCCGTAACCATAGTAGAGGACAGTTCTTGCAGGGTCGCGAATTACACCAGAAGGTAAAAAATCAATTATATAGGCTTCAGTAAGATTTCCGCCAGGTACCTTAGATGGGTAAATCTTTTCCTACAATAGGGGTTTCGCCCGGTACCCTAGACAGGTAGTCTGTATTGCTCTTAGAGCTTCGCCCGCTACCATAGACAGGTAGTTCCACATGATAGATTTTCGCCTAGAACCTGGGACAGGTATTTCTCTCCGAAGCTTATATGGTATCTCTATTTTGTTGAATGCACCATTTGAGAACTGACGCATAAATATGTAGTTTCAGGTGGTGTCCGTATATTTGCTTGGGTCACCGGAGGTTGTTTTACCGCTTTATTGCTATTTAACATTTGCCGTTAGTGTTAACGTTACCGGAAGCTTTAGAGCTACCGGAAGGCTGACCCATCCGTTATCGCTATCGTTAACTTTTCTGGACTCGCTTTCCACCGCCCGCATGGTCACGCTATTACCGCACGCACATAATCTTCCACTCGTTTAATTATCTCTCTCTCTCACGCATCCCCGTTCATTCTTTCACAGGGTTAACTAAGGGTTTTCCTGTGAATATTTTCCGGTAATACAGAGTGTTATATTTATTTAAATGTATCGACTGTTGTCTATTTCTTTCTCCCAAACCAAGGTTTTCAGAAAATTTCACAGAACAAGCGTCTGTGGTGACCCCTGGATTACCGTCACTCCACTGTAACAAGCTACCTGGTGCAAGTAGGCCCTCAACCACTTTAATTCTGAGGGTGGCGACCAAGGTAAACCGTTAGATAAACATACTGAACCCTCGTCGATTACGCAACACAAGCGCCTTACATTATGAACACATTTTTTCTAGATACATGAGTATACCTACTACATTCTTATACAGTGTGTCTTGTGTCTGTCTCTATATTGGGATCTTGTTTATTATGAGAGATACAGGATGGCTCAAATTGGGAAATTCAATGCTTATTTATATCCTGGTTTATCGCTTTTTTTATTTTACAGCAAATCCAGTACCAACTTCTATTATGATAGTTTTTTCAATAAGATTTTCATATCAGTATTTTGAATTTATTGGAATATTTTCAGTTTCAAATTGCTAAAAACTAAAGTTCACACTCTCGGGCCCAATTGACTGGTAATACTGCTTTATATCCTTCAATAAAATTGCTGACAGTACAAGGACTAGCACAGTTTGGCAAAATTTGTTCGATTATCTTTCCATTCCATTTGTCCCAATAAAATACCTAAAACAAACATTTTGTTGTTTTTCTTAATGGAAACTTTAAAAAACAAATACCTTGATAGTAGAATCTTCATATAGCTCAAAAATTAGGCAGGCACCGAAATTTGGCTTCAGTGTATCAATTAAATTTAAAGCTCTCATTACATGGACAATAGTTAAATCATGTCCTGAATAAGTATTTATAGTTGGTACGTCTTTTGTTCCATTTAAGGCTGTCTCCATCAAATCCAAAATGGTTTTGAGGAAAAATCCTGATAAAAGTATAAATTCAATAAATAATAATTGTTATTGTATAAAACTTACCTCCTTTGATTTTCTTCATATACTCAGTCTCGGAATAAATAGCCAAATTTTGCGCGGCAATAATCTTCATTTCGTTCATCAAAGTATCATTGACCCAATAAGGCGTTGACAAATTATTCAGTTGATAAATTTCCAGAGTATTAAACAAAGATTCAACGTCTTCAATATTATTTATAATTTTTCCTGTATGCTGCGACAGATAGTTATATAAATCTGCATAGTCTTGGTTGTATTGTTGTACTTTTGCGGAATTTTGTACTTCTATGAATTGTTTGTCGTATTTTGTACAGTTTGTTTTCATAGCTACAAGCTTAAAATATAAATAAAGTCAGTTTAATCCGCGGGAAAACTTGGTTAAAGTACTATTTGATATGAGAATTACTTAAGACTTGATTTGTAAGAGATAAAAAAGAGGAATAATCATAACAAAACAACTTACATTGTCTAAATTCCTTGGTAAATAATGAACAGGTATCGGTTGCCAGAGCACATCAGAATTCCATATTTGGAAATCGTGCGGTGGAAAGAGACCTGCGCCGAATAGTTCGGCGCTCATAAGGCATCTGTCCCATTGGCTACTAGTAAAATTGACTTCAGCGGGCCAATAGTACCGCGGCAGAAAGTTTTCGTAGTGGGCTCGGACATTTTGGCCGAGCGAATACATTTGGGATTTTCCTTTCTAAAAAAATAGATCTTGAAAAAACATCAAAGAACCAGTATTTTTGATGGAATAAAGAAGAGAACTCACGAGACCACCAAAGACTATACAAATATGAATAAAGGACGTCAAGAAATTTATAAAACGTTACGTTAAGCACATAAGTATTAAGGTCTTGAGAAGGAAAAAATGGACATAACATCAAAGATCCAGATGGTAACGATATTATGCATAAGTTTTCATGAAAAATTCAACTCTCCAGCATCCAGAACCACTCCCTAAGAAATCTTAAATTGAAGGGGGGGGGGGTCAAGAGTTACATCATTTCAAAGGTTTTTTGGCCCCTATTGAAACTGACAAGTATGAAGTATCTGCTCTCAACCTAGTTGATATGATTGCTTGTAAAAATCTTGATTTTAGTTAGCGACAAGCACAGAACAAACATGGGTGGGGTGAAAGGATGAGGGCCAGACGATCTTTAACATATTTTATGATGTTAGGATATAAGCGTTTAGAAACTAAATTCTTAAGATAACACTCACCCCCGCCCGAAGTTAACTTATTTTGAAGTACCCACCAAACTTGAATTCGATAACTTTGGTGAATAATTATTATTAACTAAAACACACACTTTCTTGAAGATTTTGATAAGTTGTCATATCAACGTGGGTGAGAGCAAATACTTCAAAGTCGTTAGTTTCAACGTTTCAATCAGAGCCAAAAGACCATTGAAATTATGTATCACTTGACCTCCCTCCTCTACTTTTCCACTACAGCTGTAACAGCGATATCTACAGCTATAACACTAGAATTAAAAATAACTTAAGACCAAATTTCTGTCGACTACATAGGTGCCAGAAGCCAGAATGGACCCGGATACCATGCTGCAAAACTGTTTAACCAGCCTCCAGAACAGACTATTAATCTCAATAAATATCTTTTCAAAAAAAAAAAGGAAAAGAATATCTGGTAAAAAACGCCTTCTATTTCCTAGAAAAATTCCACAACTCAACACTCATTTGGTCAAATAATAAAATTGAATAGGTAGTGTTGTTTGGTACGCCCAAATCTATTTGTATGTTCTGTATTTTACATTTTTACATTTTCTATTTTATATTTTATATTTTATACAGTGTGTCTCGCTTAAGGACTAACCACCCTTCTAAAATTTTTATTTTTTAACCGATTCAATTAATTTTTTTTTGTCTTATATCTACTCGAATTTGGCACTTATTAGACTTGTCATTTTTTTTCTGCTGCTGTACTAGTGTACAGGGTGTCCACATTTATAGGCTCAAATTTCGATAAGTACTGTCACGGTTCAGGTGTGCGCGACAGAAATCTTGGATTCGTCAACAATTAAGCTCTTTATAACTCGCAACAATAATTACTATTTAAATCTTATAACAGCCAAACTTAAACTTAAAACTACCATAAGTAACACCGGCCTTTATATATCCCTAACTTTATTCATGTACAATCTAGAATACACGCGATAACTATCCTTCTCGAAAACACCGCAAGAATCCCGCTAAATTAGGTTCTTGACATCCGGCGTTATCGTAACACTGCCCTCCTCTTAAGGTTGATCATCCCGATCAACTTCACGCCCATGATATTTCGTCAATCTGTCTAGATGTACAACTTTCATCTTACTCCTGGTATTACGCTGAACTCGATAAACCAAATCATTAATTAATCCTCTTGATTATTCCGTAGGGTCCTTCCCATGGTGAAGACAATTTCGGCGATACTCTTTTCTTTCTAGCTGGATTATACAGCCAAACCAAAGCACCTTCTTGAAATCCGGCTGAATTGGCTTTCAAGTCGTATCTGGTCTTCATTCGGTCATTGGCCAGCTAAATATGCTCCCGAGCAAAATCGTATATTCCTAGAAGTCGTGCCCTTACTTCGTCGACATAATCTCGGATTACTTTTCGTTCTTCTTCAGGTATCCCAAACATCAGATCGCAAAGTAACCTGAGTTATCTTCCAAAAATAATTCTGGCTGGACTTTCACCTGTTGACTCGTGAACAGCTGCTCTGTAAGCCATTAAAAATAGAGACAAATGTCTGTCCCAATCTCGCTGGTTCTTTACGATAGCTTTTGTAAGGTGTTCCTCCATGGTCTTATTGAATCGTTCTACCATGCCATCAGACTGTGGATGTAAAGGTGTTGTCTTACGAATGCCCATGATCTCACAAATTTTCTTAAAGATGGCAGATTCGAAGTTTCGTCCCTGATCTGAATGTAACTCTAGTGGCACACCATGACGACTAAAAACTAGCACCTGGACAACAGTGATGGCTTCTTGATTGGGAATAGCGAAAACTTCTGGCCATTTACTGGAGTAATCCATGATAACCAAGATGTATTTGTTGCCACGCTCTATCTCAGGGAACGGTCCGACAACATCTATCGCTATTCTTTCAAATGGGAGACCGACATTGTACTGTTTCATGGGCCCCCGAGATCACCGTTTGGGGCCTTTACTGGTAGAACAGATGTCGCATTTTCGGCACCAGTTTTTAACGTCTTCATGGTAGTGAACCCAGTAAAAACGTTCCCAAACTTTGTCCAAAGTCTTGTTAACTCCAAAATGTGTCCCTGAAGTCTGAAGTTCCGTCATGTATTTTTTTTAATGCATCTTCCACTCGGTCTTTTGGGATAACCAGTTGGCTCTTAGTGCATTTCCCATCGGCACTTTCCCAAACTCTTTTAAGCAAAGCATTTTCTACGGCCAGAGAGTTCCACTGGGACCACAACGCCTTGTAAATCAAGCCCTTGTGCGACACTTCCCTCCATTCTGGCCTAGAGTCATCATTTTCCTTAAAGGCGGTGTGCGCCAAAAATTAAAGTTTTAGTGTAAAAAAATCTAAGAATAACTGTTCAAACCTCGTTATTCTACGATAAACCATCGCTGAGATATACCGCTTTAAAGTGTGGACGACGCTCTCGTGACGTCACGAAAACTTCGTCCAGCCGCGCTCCGCATTGTTAAATTGATTGTTCCCGGCACTCGTGAGTAGTTTTTGTTTATATTATTGCAGGTAACACAGGAGAAACATTATGTAAATTTAATTAACTCCACTTTCTCGTGCGTCGCTTGAGCTTTCGTGACGTCATAGGGTGAGATTCGGTACCTTCATAGAGCCATATCTGCGGTATTATTTGTCATAGAGGGGTGCGGATTTCACTGTTATTCTTAGATTTTTTCTCTCCTTTTTTTGAGATGAAGTTGTTTTCTTGGCGCACACCCCCTTTAAGTTTTGACTGGCAGAAATTGCAGACAAGTCCTAATAAACAATGAACAAAATTGCGACAAAAATTGTTTATTTTCAAACGTCATATAACAGTGATTTTTGTGATCATTTTGACACGGTATAAGTGTCACTTCAATGACTTTCAGCTTGATCGACGTATTGTTCATCGATTTTTAACTGATACTTGCGGTATGAGGAGCGAGGGGGTGTTTCATATGGCAAAAACAGGTGTGACGTCAGGTAACCATTGGCGTTCTAATGTAAGGGAGCCACCAGCTCACATTCCGTCCGAGTATCAGATTAAAATCGACGAACAATATAAGTGTTATTTTAACGCCGACGCATGTTTTTCCATAGCGATTTAAGGTAGTTCACCTGTACATACAGGTATAGCTGCTTATAAAGGTGATCCTTCTAAATATGAATGTCATAATCTAAACTGGTGAACAGTTGCTTTGCAACATGGAAAATTTTACCCAAATTCAAATCTCGATATTTTCGGAACGGAAAGAGATATCGAGTTGCGGTATTCGGGAGGTTCTTCACCAACTCTTTGAGAACACGCACAAGGTTTGACCGGTATATTTCTTTCATTTGTGCACTTATACAGGGTGAGTAAAGGAAGTCATGTTTTTTTGGCAAAGTTTGGGGCTATGCTAGATTCTCAATTTTTGATCTTGGAAATTTTTATATGCATCTTTCTCATATTTTTGCACGAAGTAGAATTTCTTGGCCCCAAGAAAAGATTGAAGCACTCATTGAACGTATTGCCTACAGTGGCGTGCAGAAAAAGTTTGCTTTTGACATTATGTTATAAAACCGAATTTATAAATTAAATTATACTATGCAATTAAACAGCTTAATGAACAAATCCAAGTTACTATACTCTTTATACAGGAGTTTATTCCAGTGGCGTAACACCAAGAGCATCTTTTGGTTTGGTGGGAAGAACTTTAACATTCGTATTTTTCAAAATGCTCTGATGCTGGTCTACACTGCTGTTCATTCGAGACCTACTTATACACAATAGTCAGTGTTGTAGGGGATACCGTTATTGCTGCGCGATAATCTGGTAGATATCTTCTGAGGTACGCGTCCACTAAGCGGAACAGTTCGGCGTGGATCGCATCGCAAAAATCCGTCTACCATAGATTAAAATGGAATTGCAAAGTGGACGCAGATTTATTTGAATCTATGATAGACGGATTTTTGCGATGCGATCCGCCCCGGCCGCATCCAAACATTCCGGTATAGGATTCGGCACCTACGTATATTTCATTGTTCCGTTTGAATTCGAATCGCCAATTAATGCGGAGAGCCGAAATCCGTACTGGTATGTTGAACGGTGCTGAGCATCAGGTGGAATGGTTCTGTAGCAACAGGTATGTGGAGTGCCGAATCTAAGGTCAAAATGTTAAATAGTGCCCAGCTGCAGGTTGGAATGTTGCCCCGTCAGCGCGGCACAAAATCAGCGAACATAAGTTTTATTCACTTGTTGCCACATGAACTGAACAGCTTTGTTCACTGTTCAGTACTATGTTTTCCTCTAAAATGCACGGTGAATTTGCTCACCACATTGAAAGTGTTTGAATGATTCAGACAAATTCATTTTGCATGTAAAGCACAAGGACGCATACAGCAACGTGCCAAACAGACCGCATCCGCTGCAAAATTTTACGAAGGGGGTGGACAGCTGATTTAATATAAAAACCGTGCCAAACGCATGGTAACATTCTGACCTGATGCTCAGCACTGTT